CCCATTTAGTACTTCTGAGTTACATGTATCCATTACGTTTGTTATACCAGTATCAAAGTCAATAGTTTAAGAAAAATAGTCAATGTGATGGAATAAATGATCGTTTACATATAGTAACTATGATCAACAATTTGTCATCGTGAACGTTATAAACCTGTTCCTAGATACGTTTTCATGGCAGTTAGCATAAGTAGATGATTCCTCGCGGAAGCCACGCCGAAGGCCTTGCGAAGCCGAGGTTTCACTTGCTGATACCGCTAATAAGATGAGCAAAATATTTGTGTTATGGTGTCTTTTCCGTCAGCCTTATTTCTTTAATCTTCCAACAGTAACAAAGCGGATTCAAGGACGAGTTCAAAATAAGCTAAAGTTACTGTAAATTGCTCAGCGAGGTAAAAGATAAGGAAAACCATATTTGAGGTGTTAAAGCTAAGCTGCTAAACCATACGGCAGATAACAAACAACCAATGTGAATTGTATCCACAGTTAATTTGTAACTGCTCTTCTGTATCGAGCTATGTTCAGTGGAGACGCCTGGTTTGGAATTGCTCCGGACACGTGACTCTGTACTTGAATTTGGTTACGACGCAGGTGAGGAAAATTTTGTGTAAGCAGACGCTGTGATGACAAGACAGAGAGGTAAACAAATGTAAAGCCATGCATGCGCCTGCAGGATACCAATAGAAAACTGCCGTGCCGGCAATAGATGAAATCCAGAATCCATTAATCGCTATATATGTTCTTTTCAAAGTTACAATTTGTCTGTACCTCAACCCAAGCAAAAGGGCAAGAAGCCTGTCCGCGCTTATTGAAGTCAAAGTAGCCAAGGACACTGAGCACAAAATGTAACCTGTGAAAAAGCTTACTGCGTTGGCATAAGAGCAAATATTATTTTTGCTGTTCACCACAGACATCCAATAAACAATATCTGCAGGCTCTGCCATGACACCAACGCAGAGGTCAGTAATCGCTAGGCTGCGATACAGGAGTTTGGACGGCGAACCGATCGAGAAATCTCTGCGAAGGGCAACAAGGATCAAGGTATTACCGAGAATTGCAGTACTGGATAAAAAGGTGTTAAGAACTGAGAGAAAGATTAGTTGGTTGTGTACTTCTCCCGTGATATTCATTTGGGACGAACAAAGCAGTTCTTCTATTTCCTTCTGGTTGATATCTTTGGTAAAGTTTCTCACTGCCATTTTACTGCAATGTATGCAGGTCAACAAATGTCAGAGCGTTCAGTAGAAGCGTTGTAAGCTTTTATCACTAGCAGCTGGTGTATGGTATATTAGGTAATTTTGTAGGAGCACTACTACACCTAATTGTAATAACATCAATGGCATAGAAAATGCTAAAAGGAAAAAGTGAATTAATTACAAATAAATTAGGCTCACCATGATAAACTACTATTAATAGCAATATAGGAAGCATTCATTTGCAACATACGCGAGCAGTTGTCGTATTTCCATTTGTTTCAACGCCTTAAAATAGTCTATGCTGCAAGTAAATGCACCCTATAGTGTTTTTTTTATTATTTAGTAAGCCTAATTAATTCTTATTTGGTTTTTTCCATTTTTTTTTTTCATTATTCCTTTTAGCATTTTTCTAAGTCAAAGTTATGGCAATTAGGTGTACATCTCTAGGAAATTAACACAGTATGGAATTCTTTGAAGCCTTCTAGGCACGCAAACAAACTCAAACAATTAACTCACCTTCGAATATGTCGCTGGTCGATTGTGTATTAGTTTCCAAATCTTCATCAACTTCTTAAGAAAAGTTTTCTCAGGAGTTTCAGTCACTGCAAAAAGCGAACTTTCAGTTGAAGGCCGATCTTTAAGGTAATACAGTTCAGGAATCCTCAAGCCACTTGTTAGACGGGACTGAGAGGACTTAATGTTTTATTCACGCAGAATGTGTACACCCCAATAAAATGATTGTATAATTGCCGACGAAATATTTCACACCTGCTCGAAGAACGAGTAAAATTAAAATGTTTCTGAATAGTTCGTGATTTTAAATGGCGTCACGCGCAAAGTAACACCAAATAGAACTGAGACGGGAAATGCATACTCGAATAACCTGAAAAATCTTTCGATTCAGACTTTTTTGATAAAGTACTGCCAAGTATTCTGATTCCACGATAGATTATAGCGTGTCTTATCTAATTCGTCCTGGGTGCAGTTAGAGAGTACCAATTGCTTAAAACAAAACCAAATTTATAGCCTTTGCAAAGAACTTCTTGCAAATTCATACTTGAGCCTTTAGGCAAGTAATAGGTGCATTTGAACAGAAAAAGAACGAAATCGGAGGCGTTATTGATCTAAGAAAGGAAACTTTTGACGTTTCCCAATCTTCGCCACGCTTACACCAATTTGAAAATCGACGATCAATAATATGTCACCGTGAAAGTTATAATAAATTTGGCTAATAAATGAGGAATGAAAAATATTAGTTTGTTCAGTGTGTACTTCTCGAGTAAAATTCTAAAAAAGTGATTTTTTTAATAGTATTTTCCTTCTACTCGGTTTCCTTGGTAAAAGAACATCGACTTTGTTAACTTGTCTTTTACAGTCATTTTACCGCGATGTATTTTAACGAATAAGAGAGCATTCAGTTAAAGAAAGCAAACTTTTATCGGCGCTTGCTGCTCTTTTTTATAGTGGTGTATTAGTCTCTGACTAGCCTTTCAGCATATAAGAAACTTGACTTCAAATAACTCGCTGTTTTATTGTCCAAATCCCCAATTTGTTATAAGTAGTTATTTCTCAGTTGCTTTTTGCATAACGAACTTGTTTCGAAAAGAATATAAGGAGGGCTAAAAAGTAATGAGTTCAGGAATCCCTTAGCCTTCAATATTTTTTGTTTGTTTGTTTTTTCTCGTGATTAGAGTCTATTTAAACGGTATTTTTTTCTGAACCTCGGACATCAAAGAAGTAGTGAAAAAAACGAGAAAATTTCTAAGGCAAAACTGAGGAGAGACCTGATTCTGATTAGAATTGTAAAAAGTGCCAGCTTTGGTCAAACCTTTCGGTGTTTTTCTTTTTCTTTAGCGAACTTTCCCAACCTTTACCACTTAGTATAGAACAAATGAGCAAAGATGTATGAAAGAGTCAATTAATGACATTTTTTTCTTATTCAAGTCTCTCCAGCTGCATGTTTTTTGTTTCATGGCCGGCGCCGACAAGTCGACAGTCCTTGTATTGAAACACTTCAAACTGTTCGGCAAACTTTCAACTTTCAACTATTAATTATTTATCATACATTACCATGGCCATGAACATAATGTTTCATAATAAATCTTTAAACAGCTAGCAAACACTATTATAGCGTTTATATTTCTTTATAGCTTGGCCATAGAGGCTCACACGAAAGAAGTAGAAAGTCCAAACTTGGCTATTCCCACCCTATCATTTATTTTCTTCCTCAAAATACGTGTTATACACTCATTCATCACTTTTTTACCGGTAATTCTAATATACTAAATGTAGTAAACAATTGCAAACGATAGTCTACTTAGAATACTGTATTCTGCTATTTGCTATAAGCCTTTAAAAGGTCTATTCATTTAAGAGTGGTGAATAAACAAAGCCGATGGCATACTTGTTGGTATAAGCTTTTACGAAGCTGATTAAACCATACAAATTTTCTTACTCGTAAAAAGTCATAAAACAAGCTGTTAGGTTAGTCACGGTAATTACTTTTATAGGTCGCTGAGGACTTAATGAAATGAGAAATGCGACTTTTTACTGATGTAAACAAAAACCGCATAGTTGAATGAATTCTTTTTGGCGAATTTTTTTAAACAGCCAGTGCATAAATATCTTGAGGCAGTGACTGATTGGAAACAATTTCCTCAGCTTTTAATAGGCTGTCTTCTTTTAAAATTTTATTAGCAAAATTAAAAATTCAAATGGATCTAAAATTCAATGACCTGGTAGCTTATGGGGTTCCAAGCTTTTCTCAAGGTTGACGCTGTTTTTGTTTCCTTTCGGTTAAAATTCCCGCAATTCTCTCCCTTCCAGGCCACTTGATTTCAGATAAAGCTCTTTGGGGGCAAATGTAAATAAGCTTGAGATCAAGTAATGTTTTTATTGTTGAGAGGTAAGGGGTTATGGAATCAGTTAATTTTAATAATCTTTTTGCTGTTAGATAAATGTTGTGTGCAATCCTTAGCCCTTTCAGTTACAAAGCGACGTGCTAAAAAAATTTGAAGGGCCATTTAAGGGGAAGGGGTCCGGGCACCCACTCCCCGATGCTCCTTAAGGGCCATTTTTGTTAATCAAGGATTGTAGCTTCATTCTGGCTTGGTTGACACATACACGCCAAAAACTAAAATAGCTCCGAGAAAATGCCATGCCAGTGATATTACCCACGAATAAAGATACTAACATGCTGTACTCCACTTAACTTTTACGGGCCGTCACTTATTATAATTAGCAGAATTGACTCATTTAATACTCCAATTGGATCGTGCAAGTCTTGAAATTGCCACAGCAGCTTAAAGTCAAAAAGACTCTTTTCGATTTCAGTCATGAACGACATGACTAAAATGATTCTTTGAACATCCGTTCTTACGAAACATCAGCTTTGCTTTTACGGACATACCGTGCAGGCCAAGACACCTAGTAAATAATTAAAAGTCACTTTGACGAGCATACATTTATAACGATTGAAGGATGGGAATTCGCCATTTGTCATAATACACCTTGTTTGCCCCCTCCCCCTCCCCCCATAATTATAGCATTGTCTTCGGTCTCCCTTGCGGCGACTGTAATTCCCAGGAGAAATTAAAAACAAAGGTTAAGCCAGGGAATCTGGGACCGAGAGACGATGTTCTCCCAACTTGCAAAGCGGTCACCCTGCGTGGTGGTCAGCGGATAACTGCAGTGCATTTTTTAAAAAGTATTAAAATATTTCAGAGGCGAGAAGCGAACCAGCAGAGGAAATAATTCAGTAATTGAAAAAATAATATCACCCCTCTTTGTTTTTCTCGCATATCGTATTTGTACTTTGGTACTGAAAGCGACACTCAATGCAACCGTGGAGTAACCGACAACAGCGCGCCCTGGACTATCGATCGAGTTTATAGGTATTTCGCCGGGCGAGGAGAATATTATAGAGGTTATAATGCTGATAAAAATTACTGGAGAAAGCGTAAAATGTATCAGAATTAGGGCTTTTCAAGAGAGCTTTATAAATATATTCCTACATACCTGACTAAGCAGATTCACTCTTCATAACAGTGATAATATTTCACTTCCTGAACATATTCTTTGTACTTCGGTTCCTAGCTTTGGTACCAGCGATCACAATCCAACAGTCTTATACTGCGCAAACAAAATGCAAATTCGAGATGCAGAAAAGGTGGCAAACACGTCGAGATTTCTTTTCGTTCCTTGAAAAAAGTTGACACCAATCCTCTTATCGCTGATTTAAATAGGATACCCTGGAGCATACTCGAGACCGAAAGTAATGACCCAGGTGAAATGCTAAACACCTGGATTAAACTTGTACTTGACGTTGTTGACACACACGCCGCGTGTGTCCAGTGAAAAGGAAACGGGTCAAATCCCCTAAAAAACCTTCTTGGCTAAAGAATGAAATTTAGGAAGCGGTCAAGCATCGTGATCACCTCAAAAGACTACTCGATCATGGAAAAATTCCAAGAGCTGATCATAATAAGGTCAGAACAAAGGTTCGTTGTGTATTATTGTAAATAAGGCCAAGTCCGCGGCGATCGAAAATGAACTTGACGGAAACAAGCAGAATTGAAAAAACTTAGTCTCAGTGGTAAGGTGAAACCCATCCTCGGAGACCCAGGGGCAGATAGTGGGGGCTAAGGAAAGTCTAAACGGGTGGAAAAATATGGCACGAAGAAAAGTAAAGAAAGGAAGCAAATCAATTTAACAAGCATTTCCTCTATCGCGTCATCTATAGTCGAAACCTGCTACACCTGACCTATCACACATTGAGAGCTTTGTAAACGACAGAATACCATCTACTGCAATCTTTGAAATCCCACTTCTCGATGCCAATTCTTTAGATAAATTAATCAAATCACAGTCCTACAAATGTTTCTATGGGTCTCGACCGAATAAGTGCTTCTTCACAAAAGCTCATCTCTCCAGCTACTCTTGAAAGTCTCACCAAGGTTCCTAATTGTAGCATTCTGTCTGGTACCTGCCCTTCTCAGTGCCGT